AATCCAGACTGTAACCTCATTTCTCGGGAGTACAATGCCGAGTGTCCGATCTGTCAGGGGTCTCATCTGCCAGCTTTTTGTCCGCCTATCATGGCTTGACATGTGCGGAGGAGAGGGGGGGTTCTGGGTAATGACATGTGACCTCTCCACAATGGATGTAGGATTGATTGCTCGCTAGGCTGGTCACACTTGTTACAGTGTGATTGTACAATCTGCTTCATATTTACCGACGACTATGGACCATCTGATTGTACGCAGATTGAAACGATCGATCAGGGCCCTCCTATCCCTCTTGTATGGATCTGTATTGTCTCCCGTTATATTGTACAGCGCTGAGCGGACTGTTGGCGCCATAAATCCTGTATAATAATAATATAAATCCTGTATAATAATAATCGATCAGGGAGCGCCTCGCACTGCGTAGGATGAAAGGCTGACCATACATTATACAATCTAACGAAGACCTTCATCGGGGATCATGTTATTGAAAGCTGCAGATCTAACATTGGAAACGTCTTTAGACTGACGCTGATATGGAAAAGCTTCTCTGAGATTTGAGATTTCATCTACGAAGGGGCCGTCCACCCAACCGTATATATGTCAGTGCTTGGTAGATGTCTGTACACCCGCTAGGCCCATTTATGAGGGGTTCCCACCATCCCTGTGCTGAGTTCCCGAGTCTGTATACCCGCTAGGCCCATTCTAAGGGGTTCCCACCACCCTGTGCTGAGTTCCCGAGTCTGTATACCCGCTAGGCCCATTATGAGGGGTTCCCACCATCCCTGTGCTGAGTTCCCGAGTCTGTATACCCGCTGTTGCCCATTATGAGGGGTTCCCGCCATCCCTGTGCTGAGTTCCCGAGTCTGTACACCCGCTGTGCCCATTATGAGGGGTTCCCATCCCTGTGCTGAGTTCCCGGGTCTGTACACCCGCTGTGCCCATTATGAGGGGTTCCCGCCATCCCTGTGCTGAGTTCCCAGTCTGTACACCCGCTGTGCCCATTATGAGGGGTTCCCGCCATCCCTGTGCTGAGTTCCCAGTCTGGACACCCGCTGGGCCCATTATGAGGGGTTCCCGCCATCCCTGTGCTGAGTTCCCAGTCTGGACACCCGCTGGGCCCATTATGAGGGGTTCCCGCCATCCCTGTGCTGAGTTCCCAGTCTGGACACCCGCTGGGCCCATTAACCACCTTCCGCCCGCCCTATAGTACAATATGATGTCCTTCCATTCTCACTGCACATGCGCGGCTCAGGGAGCGCGCAGCGCGGCGATCGGCGGTGTGGTGTCCCCTCGGACACAACGGATCATGGAATGAGTCAAAGATGTCGGCTCGGTCGGTCATGTGATCAGCTGTGTCCAATCACAGCTGATCACATGTACACAAGGAAATGCCAGTTATCGGCATTTCTCTCCTCATGAGCCGTCACGCTGACAGAGGAGAGGAGAGCCGGTAATCGGCATTCCTCGGAGGGGACATCTACACTGATCATCAGAGCACTGATGATCAGTGTGGCCCCAGAAGTGCTACCTGTCAGTGCCCATCAGTGCCACATCAATGCTACATATCAGTGCCCATCTGAGCTGCCTTTCAATGTCACCCATCAGTGCCAGTCAGTGCCACCTATCAGTGCTGACAATCAGTGCCACCTATCAGTGCCAGTCAGTGTCGCCTATCAGTGCGCATCAGTGCCAGTCAGTGCCGCCTATCAGTGCCAGTCAGTGCCGCCAATCAGTGCCACCTATCAGTGCCAGTCAGTGTCGCCTATCAGTGCGCATCAGTGCCAGTCAGTGCCGCCTATCAGTGCCAGCCGCCTATCAGTGCCAGTCAGTGCCGCCTATCAGTGCCATATATCAGTGCCATGTATCAGTGTCATGTATCAGTGCTGCCTTTCAGTGCCCATCAGTGATGCCTGTCAATGCCCATCAGTGCCACCTACCAGTGCCTCCTGATCAGTGCCAATCAGTGCCACCTATCAGTGCCCATCAGTGCAGCCTATCAGTGCCCATCACTGCAACCTCATTAGCGCACATCAGTGAAGGAGAAAAATCACTTATTTACAAAATTGTATAACAAAAACTAAGAAAAAACTTTTTTTTTCAAAATTTTCAGAGGTTTTTGGTGGTTGTTTAAGAAAAAATAAAAATCCCCGAGGTGATTAAATACCACCAAAATAAAGCTCTATCTGTCACAAAAAAATGATAAAAAATTCATCTGGGTACAGTGTTGCATGACCGCGCAATTGTCATTCAAATTTGACAGCACTGAAAGCTGGAAATTGGCCTAGGCAGGAAGGGGTAGAAGTGCCCTGTAGGCGAGGGGTTATGAGGGGTTCCCACCATCCCTGTGCTCAGTTTCCAGTCTGTGCCCATTATGAGGGGTTTCCACCATCTATGCTGCATTTGTATTTATTCTATATTGTGGAGAATGTAATAGGAGGAGTCGGGACAAACAAACACGGCGTGGACACCCAAACCTCCCAAGTTGGCAGAAGTGGGGAATCGTATCGGATATCACATTGCTCGAAGATCCAGGAGTCACCAGGCATATCATAGAACTAAAAGATCTCTCGGGGGGGGGGGGTCCATTGCTGACAATAGGGAGCGACTTCTCATGCGATTTGGAATTGTCAAATCACATGACAAGTCGCACCGGAGCAGGGGCGGACTGACCAGTTAACCACTCGGGCAGTGCCCGAGGGCCTGGGGTCATTAGGGGGCCCCATGAACTGCCCCTGGTACCTTTCATGGGCTTTTTTTTTGGGTGTGGTTTGAGTCATGATTTCCTATTGCTTGGGGGCCCCATGAGTTGTCAGTCGTAGGCCCTGACTTGTTGCAGTTAAATTGGGCAGCAGTTGTACATCTTTATGCGCTCCCTCAATTCTCTGGTTATACTGATCCTTCTTGGTGAAGAGTTGACCGTCTGTACCCCATGATAAGGGGCTCCTGAGCCCCCCACCCCATATAGGCCAAAATGTGGACGTCCTGAGCCCCCCACCCCCGTATAGGCCCCAACGTGGACATCCTGAGCCCCCCCCCTGTATAGGCCCCAATGTGGACGTCCTGAGCCCCCCACCCTTGTATAGGCCCCAACGTGGACATCCTGAGCCCCCCACCCTTGTATAGGCCCCAATGTGGACGTCCTGAGCCCCCCACCTTTGTATAGGCCCCAATGTGTATGTCCTGAGCCCCCCACCCCTGTATAGGCCCCAACGTGGACATCCTGAGCCCCCCACCCTTGTATAGGCCCCAACGTGGACGTCCTGAGCCCCCCACCCCCGTACCCCAACGTATAGGCCCCCACCCCCGTCCCAACGTGGATGTCCTGAGCCCCCCCACCACCCCCGTATAGGCCCCAACATGGACGTCCTGAGCCCCCCACCCCCATATATGCCCCAACGTGGACGTCCTGAGCCCCCCACCCTTGTATAGGCCCCAACGTGGACGTCCTGAGCCCCCCACCCCCGTATAGGCCCCAATGTGGACATCCTGAGCCCACCCCCGTATAGGCCCCAACGTGGACGTCCTGAGCACCATCTGAAGTGTGGGGATTCCTCTGCAGCCCTCGTTCCTGAGGGGTGATCACATACAGATAAAACAAGGCTTTGGCCTAATACATACACATTTCTGATTAGACACAGCGGAGATGAATTTTCTGCCCCTTTGTTCACGTCAGGAGCAGCCTTGAAAGTCTCTTCTAATGTCTCACTCATGGCATAGCGGGGGGGGGGGGGGCCCGGGGCCCCCCCTCATCCCTCCGCAGGCCTTGGAGGGGCCTGGCAGCCATGAGGACATCTGCTTTCCGTCAGGTGCAGCCCAGCTGGTTTATGGAGGGAACGCGAGGTGTCAGACTTGGCCACAAAGCCACCAAGGTGTACGTGTGTGACCGCAGGCCATGGCGAGGGGGGGGTTTATAGCGGGAAGGCCTGACAAGTCGTAAAGTGGAAGCCATTTTGGCGCATATGGGCCATTCCCTCTGTGCAGGCGATGACCTCATGGTGTTACTGGGGGGAAACCAGGCTCCCGGCATGTTGTGGGGCCCCTCATATACCCCCTTAAAAAGAACAAAGCACAAAAGGTGTTACTGATGTTCAATACCCTCTACTTTTATTCTCTCTTTCTTCACTATATCTTCTTTTTTCTCTTTCATCTTTGTCTCTACATTCCTTCTCTCTGTCCTTTTCTTTATTGTCCTATCTTTCTTCTATCCTCCTTGGCTTTATTTCCTTTGCTTTTGATTCTTTCTACCTTCCTTCTCTCTTTCTTCTTTCTCTCATTTTTTCCTTTGCTTTTTGTTCCTTCTTTCTAGTCTCCTCTGTATTCTTTCTTTTATTTTCCTTCTCTATCCTTCTTTTTTCTATCCTCCTTCCTTTGCTCTTTCATCCTTCTCTCTGTCTTCCTTCTATCGTTCTCCTTTCCATCTTCCTTTGCTCTTTCTTCCTTCTCTCTACTCTCCTTCTCTATATCTTCTTTGTTTTTTCTTCCTTTTTCTCTATCTTTCTTCTCCTTCTCTCTTTCTTCCTTCGGTCTATCTTCCTTTTCTCAGTTTTCCTTTGGTCTATTCATTTTGCTCTTTCTTTCTTTCATACATTTTCCATTCACTCTATCCTCCTTCTCTCTATCCTCCTTCTCTCTATCCTCCTTCTCTCTATCCTCCTTTCTCTCTATCCTCCTTCTCTCTATCCTCCTTCTCTCTATCCTCTGTTTTCACTTTTTTCATTCCTTTGCTCTATCTTCTTTTCTCTCTATCTTCCTTCGTTATTACTTCTTTCTTCCATCTCTCTATTCTTTATTTCTCTATATTCTCCTTTGTTCTTCCTTCTGTTTTCCTTTTTCTCTTCTCCCCTCTCTATATCTTCCTTCACTCTTCTCTCTCTCCTTTCTCCCCTCTCTATAGCTTCCTCCACTCTTCCTTCTCCTTCTCTCTCCCCTCTCTATATCTTCCTTCTCTCTCCCCTCTCTATATCTTCCTTCACTCTTTCTCTTCACTCCTGTCTATTCTTCTTCCCTCCTCTCTTCTCTTCTCTCTAATCTTCCTTCACTCTTTCCTTCTCTTCTTACTCTTCTCTTCTCTCCTCTCTATATCTTCTTCACTTCACTCTTCTCTTCTCTTCTCTCTATATCTTCTTCCTTCACTCTTCCTTCTCTTCTCTTCTCTCTATATCTTCCTTCACTCTTCCTTCTCTTCTCTTTCTCTTCTCTCCTCTCTATATCTTCCTTCACTCCACTCTTCTCGTCTCTTCTCTTCTCTCTATATCTTCCTTCACTCTTCCTTCTCTTCTCTCACTCCCTTTCTCCCCTCTCTATTCCTTCCTCCACTCTTCCTTCTCTTCTCTCTCTCCTCTCTATAATTTCCTTATCTTCCTTCCTCCCCTCTCTATATCTTCCTTCACTCTTCTCTTCTCTCCTCTCTATCTCTTCCTTCTCTCTCCCCTCTCTATATTTCCTTCTCTCTCCCCACCTTTCTCTATCTTTCTTCACTCTTCTCTTCTCTTCTTTCTCTTCTCTCATATCTTCCTTCACTCTTCTCTTCCCCCTTTCTCCCCTCTCTATATCTTCCTTCACTCTTCTCTCTTCTTTCTTTCTCCCCTCTCTATATCTTCCTTCACTCTTCCTTCTCTTCTTTCTTTCTTTCCCTCTCTATATCTTCCTTCACTCTTTCTCTCTTCTCTCTCCCCTTCTCTATTCTTTCCTTCTCCTTTCTCTCCTTCCTCTCCTCTCTTCTCTCTCTATATCATCCTTCACTCTTCCTTCTCTACTCTCTCCCTCTCTCATCTTCCTTCACTCTTCCTTCTCTTCTTTCTTTCTTCCCTCTCTATATCTTCCTTCACTCTTTCTCTTCCTTGCCTTCTCTCTCTATATCATCCTTCACTCTTCCTTCTCTCTTCTTTCTCCCCTCTCTATATCTTCCTTCACTCCTCCTCCTCTCTCTCCTCTCCTCCCTTCTCTCTCTATATCTTCCTTCACTCTTTCTTTCTCTTCTCTCTTTCTTCCCTCTCTATATCTCCCTTTTCACTTCTCTTCTCTTCTCTCTCCCTCTCTATGTCTTCCTTCACTCTTTCTTCCTTCCCTTCTCTCTCTCTATCTTCCTTGCTCTTTCTCCCCCTCCCCCATAGCTGCAACCTTTTCAAGGAAAAATTCCAGCCTTATGGAATTTTTCATATTAATTACATTGGCAAAAAGTCTCATTTTTACCGCCCAGTCCCTCTCCTCCCCTCGCACTCTACATTTTCCTTCTTTTTTGGTCAGTACAGCAAATAATACTTAAAGAATACCTACACACCAGGAGTAAATTTCTTATGTCGCAGATTACCATTGCTATGTGATGGCTGCATTTGTTTCTTTTTTTAGTTTTTGTTTTCACCTGGTAATGCAGCTTTCTTGTCCCCGGCTGGCTACAATTTCTCCATTGTATCTATGGATGGAGCCGGCGGTTGTCACCCAGGCTGGACTTAAAGTTTTAGTATTTAATGCCTCATGGGACTTGTAGTTTGGCAACATCTGGAGGGCCGCCAGTTTGACACCCGTGATGTAAACGTTCTGCGCTCCTAATCCAAAAAAGTATAAATCTTCCTAAATTGCCCTAAACTGAGCTGTGGGCACTCCATTGTTATTCACCATCAGCCCGGGTTCACACTGATGCGGTGCGGAATCTGCGGCGTTTCCTGTGCGAATTCCGCAGCGCATCAGAATCGCACCCCGTTCATGCGAACCGCTGCGGGTGTATGTTAAGTTAACAACACCCCCGAAATCGGTCCGCAAAAACGCTGTGCGAGTGTGCAGAATCGGGTCACGTGGGTGTGAATATACCCCTGTGATTCGATTATAGGGCGGAGCAAAAAAAGGGTCCCTGCACATTTTTAGTGCAGATGTGGTGTGATTAGAGCCCTACAAAATGTACGACTCCGATCGCCCCGCACACAACACGCATGTGATTGGCACAGGAATGCGCTGTGTGTGAGGGGGCTATTGTTGCTGGGGGAATGCGGTGCGGTTCCTGTGCGACTCACATGCAGCATACTGCACCACATATGTGTGAACCCGGGCTTAATGTAGATAATGGCAAGGGGTGTACTGGAGGATCTATTATGCTGGCTGTTGGGGATCTATTATCTATTGATAGGCAATGCAGCTCATGCAGGAGCAGAGCGGGAACAATCTATTCTGCAGTGTAAAGGTGTCTCCTTCAAGGACTCGCCGCGGAAGAGACGTGACCACACACGCCGCGGCAAACAATTCACCGATGCCAGGCACCACCCACGCTACGATTTTACACTCGCAGAAAAGATTTTGTGAATCTGTATTTTGGATTACGAGGATTCATCACGCTCTTTGTTCACGCCTAGTGCCTGTGCGTTCCCACGCCAATGCGTGTAGGCCCCGTCCTTTCAATGACACGTGACAAATGCGAAAAAAAGAAGTCTCTCGCCCTTTTTTCCAAAAAATGTGCCGCACTGAACCGCATTGTGTGCAATTACAGATGTATGGGGGCGCCATGTGCAA